AGAACTGATGAAGCTGAAAAATAAGAAGTTAAAGGGAAGGGAAAAGAAACATTACTTAGTGAGAATAAAATAAGCATACCAAGGTGTGCTGCATAATACAGAGAACACACAGTGAATGCAGAATAGTAATAGCTAATTTTTACAAGCTTTCATTCAATGTATAATTAAATACACATACAGCCTCTTATCAGGACACTTCCATAAGTTCTTTTGATTTCCAGCATGCAAGAAATTTAGATCACTTAAAAGTTAAGCTCAGGATATTTGTGCCTGTCAGACTGTATCTGGTGGCTATAAGCTTGAGTAGCATTTGGCATGATGTAGACAGCGATACAAGATCAAAGGCTCAAAATGATTGAGAGATTTATGGTCCTTCTTCAAACATCTTTTATAGAATCATAAATCTAAATCATACAATCTAAAAAATTCTTTTCCTCCTGTCCTCAAAGTTTCAGGAAGCCTCCAGCATTCACAAGAATATGTTAATTTTGTATTTAAAACAAACAAACAAAAAAAATCTTTTCCTTTTTAATACTAAAATAACATGTCTTTCTGGAAGTTAATTAGCAGTGCTGAAGACAAATATTTTTACTTGGAGAAAACTGAAACTGATCGATAACACTGGCAAGTTTATGATAGAGTACATTTTAACTTCTGCTTAATGAAAAGTCTGAAATATTTGCCATTAAAGAAATATTAATTAAATAAAACCCCCACCAACACATTGTGCAAGATAAGACCTACTGACTTAATTCAGAAAAGGAATTGTAAAGATCTATAAAACATCACAAACCTTGTCAATAGCTTCATTCACTGTGCCACACATTTTGAAGCATTCTGCCAAAAAAAGCCCAATATATCGCTGTCTTGTCTCAAATGGTACTTTGGATCCTGATTCAGGAATGGAAGGCCTTCTCTGAGTAGAAAACTTAAAAACAAACAAAAAACCCCATATGTCAATAAGTAACAAATAGCCCAAAGAACTAAAACCAGTTCAGACATTATTTTGCCCATCCTTGGAGAAAAACAATAAATAAAAATCAAACATTGCTGAACAGGTAATCAGAAGATTGGAGTTACATATGACAGGGAGCCAGAAACAGCCATCAGAAATAGTTCAAGCAGGAAGAACCTCTATAGCTACTAGAGAAAGTAATCTTCTACTCAGAGTTATTTGAGGAATTGAAACTTTTTTTTTTTTAACTTCTTTTTTCTTGGAGAAAGTTCAGTCCTTTAGCAAGCACTAGCAGTTCAATTATGATTTAAGTCAGCTCTCCGCCTGGCCTTTACTTCAGGCATTACTTCACTCAGAGTATATCTAAGGACCCAATGAACTAGACTGAAAAGAATTAGTTTATTTGTAGGAACCTATAGCCTTTGCTAGACAATGCAATGTAGAGTTTTTGCTTACCACAATACACTTATCTTAAAATAAAGCGCGGAAGTAAAAATCATCACATTCAAAAAATCTGGCAGTACGTTATGTTAACCATAGTACCATCACACCCAAAAAGGTCGAAACAGTTACAAACATGCATTGTGTGTATCAAACACGAAGTAATATGCCTATACCACATTTACCTCCTAAGGAAGATCCTTTAAAGTAGCATTTAAAGGCGTGTGCTACTACCAAGCAGAAGGTAATTTTTGCATAAAGGGAAAAAAAGCAATGTGTATCATTGTCACAACCTAGTCTCACCGTTATTGGGGCATGCAGTATTCTATTTGGGAAACAAGAGGGTACATGCTGGAGATACAAAGCATGAGGTAATCTGTACTTAACATCCCAGAAAAATGTTAATAACCAAACTGACTGAAGCCATAGTATTTGACATCTTAATCAGAAAGCAAAAACTCTGATCTTGTAATTTATCTGACCCCAGAAATCTTCAGTGACCTCTGCTTTAAAAAAAAAAAAGCAGCAAGGTTAGAGTCATTTTTCTGAGAGAAGAACCTTACGATACTCTGCCACTCAAAATTACAAAGCAAAGCTGGCACTAACAAACCAAAATATGCCTGCATTAACTTTTTGACAAGTTCCTTGAAAGTCCTTGAACTTAACAAGGGTACCTCTCTTGAAGCCAAATAAAGCCTTTCATGAGATATCATTGGCCACTATACATGGCAGGAAGTTTTAAGGGAAAATAACCAACACTCAAGCATAACTTGACTGAAAATAAACTAGTACTTAATTCTCCCATCACAAACACTTCGATTAAGAATTTATATATTTAATTGTTTGCATTTATGTAGTGCTGGCTAGTACAACCAAGGAAAATGAAAATACAATTTGCATAGCAACTTAAGCACACAGGAAGAAAAGTTGGGGTTTTTTAAAAAGCTATGCTGGTATATCAGAATATTGGGTCTACATTATAAAATACTGTTTGAAATTAACTGCAGTTTTTCCACTCCTGTTCCCATTCAGATATCCAAGTTTTGCAGCAGCAAATCTACAGTACCTTGCATGGCACAAGAGCAGTCCTTTTGAATGAGCTAACAGAAAGTCCACAGGGCATTGCTGTTGCAATGTTTCCTTCCAGCAATATATGCAGTTGACCACTGTTGATTTTAATGGGGTGAACTTCAACCAAATTTAAAGAGGCTGTAACACACAGAAGATACAGACTGAATTTAAACTCTAATGGTAAGCTTTACTACTTAAATTACATTAATATGAAACACAGGTAGTTCATAGCTCCTTTGTTAAAGCAGGTTAAGTGTAAACTAATGCAAACCTGGAACATCAGGAAACACATTAAGACTTCACTTCTGCCAATAGACTTTATGCAAAGCGTTCTCCCTTTTTTTTTTTTTGAGATCATACATCCGTTTAAGATAGAATAAAGCAGCCACATAAGTCAAGCTAAAAGCCATTTTCTAGTTGTAATGACTATGATTTTTAAACACCTACCTGCCTGCCTTCCCTGCCCCTTTCCCCTCCCTGCAAAAAAAAGCATGATAGCAAGAAAACTATCAGGAAAACCATTATTCTAACCTCATCTTCCAATACAATCAGTAAGTGCCTTGAAGTATTATTTTGCTTTTTTAAAGTCAGGAAAACTACAGATCTCAGAAATAAAAATTTGTCATGAGATTCTGGAGCCATCCTTGCAGTCATCCTGCTTAACTTTATTTGCATCAGCACCTATTATACAGCAGGACACATTTGTACAGCATGAGGTACATTAATCTATTTTACTGTTATTCAGAAAGAATACATATGCTGGCAGAATGACTCAATTTTATGTGAAGATATTTTATAGCATCTGTGATACAAACACATGAATGAAACTAGGGAGTAGTATTTTACTAATTTAATTGCTAGGTAGGTTACTTTGTGAGCCTACATTTAAAGTGATAGTAGAACAACTGGAGGGGAAACATTGCTTAACTAATATCAAATGCTGAAAATAACTTCTACTCCAGGATTTCTCATATATGAAGAATTCAAAGGGAGAAGAACAAATGATTTTCAAATCACAAGATTTAACAAATTGTTTCAGAAGGTCTGTATGGTTGATATCAGTACTAAAAGAAAACTCACCGGACTTCTAATTCTTTCAACTCACGTATCAAAAGACTTTCAACAAAACAGGATTTTGGTCAAAAACTGCACGTATGCAAAGAACTTAGCACAAAGTACTTGTCCCTTTCCACTACAGCTACCAAGACTTCAAATATAAACTTGTAGTTGGATAGAGCATCTATTTGAACAAGCTAACTGCTCACCATCGTTCAACTCACAGCTAACATTCACGACAACAAAATGAACACATTCAAGTGATGCCTAACTGAAGCAAAATGAAGTTTAGTTTGTCAAACCTATGGATCAAGCTGTCATACCCGTTGGTCCAATGCTTTGAAATTGAGTAGCCGACAATCCAGACGTAATTTTCTTCTGCTCAGAAGTTGTAGCAATAAAATCTTGTCCTCTTTTAACTGCAACTCCAAACTCCATTGCCTGCTGCATTCCTGCATCATGACCCTCCTGCCAAGAAGATGTTTTGAAAGGTACCATTTCATTTTTGTTATGCACATACACAAACCCAGAGTTAACATTCAAGCAGTTCCCTATCACAGCAAGATGATGTTAAAGGTAACACACTACTTCTTAAAACTGAATTTTGCTATCAGATTCAGAGCTTAGGAAGCTGTCCCTGGAAGGAAACCACCAAGCAGAAAGAGCTCAAGGGTAGCGGAAAGGGCTTAAAGAATTACGCCTGCTAGTAACATCACCTCTTAAAGCACTACAAAAGCAGAGAAAGCAACAGTCACTTTGGGTTTCCAAGTGCTGTATCTGTAATCTTGTGGAAAAAGCCTCCACTCCAAACTGACTTTTCAGTACATGTTAGCCTCAGCTGCCCTGGGCAGCAGTTTACTTCACCTGTGTCCGGAACCAACTGTAAGAACCACAACATTGTTACAACTTAGCAGAAGAGTTGATAAGACATTTGTTCCAATTAATTTCAAAATATTTTTATAATTAGATTACAAGATTCAGCCAACCTGAAGTTCAACAGGAGTCTACAGATATTAAGTAAAACTATGCTGACATTCAGTTTATTACAAGATTATAACTTACATCAAATTTTGCTCTGTGTGCAATTCTTCTTTTTTGTCCAGGAAGATTTACTTTGGTTTCTAATAAATTAAGATCTGCATTTCCTCCACGGGCCTATTAAAAACAAGAACAGAGTCTTAGAAAGCTCTAGACTTCAGTAATATCCTCATGACCCATTCACTCCAATGTTTCAGGATATTCAGTCAAAAAACTCACCAGGAAAGTTACAATTCCGTCAGTATTAGACAGTTATTTTACAAAGTGCTTTGAAGCTGATACAGTGGTACTCAAAGTTCCTACATGTTTTTATAAGAAGAACAGACTACTGAACACACAACTGCCTCTAAAACTTTGCTTATGACAGTAAAAGTAAAAATGGCTACCCCATTTAGAGATATTTTCTACTTCAGGAAACATACAGATCACCCATTGTCAAAATAGACTAGAGTCATATGTCTTCCTTATGACTTTGTCTACTAGCATTGAAGGCTCAAATATTTAACCTTTACTAACACGTATTTTAGAAAGAGTATTTGAACTTGACTATATATCACATCCTGTCGTCACATGGTCAGAAAAAAAAAAAAAACCCAAGCACCAAAAGGGAAACAAAATACCTGCTTATCACTGTTCTTCTTTTGTATTTCTCTTTCAAACTCATCAAAAATTCTCCGACACTCCTCTAAAGGATCATCTGATTCAGAGAGCTCTGTCTCTTCCTCACTGGATTCCACTTCCTCAGCAGATGAGCTCAGCAGAGTTTTTCCACTTCTTTTCTTGTTTAAATAAGAAGCTGGATATGGGTATGTATCTTTTGGGCTATCATTACCCCCATTTTCTTGTATGCTCTGCCTTCTCTCTGTATTTATTATTATTTCCTTATAAGGTCTTTCAATTATGGTTTCATCTTTTGAGGACCAACCAGTACACAAGACAGACTGTGTTACTCTTCCACTGCTCAGACAGTCTTCATTAGTAGTATGCTCCTGAACAAATGGTTCGACTAATACATCAGTTTCTGCATTCCCTTGCTGCAAAATTCCCTCCTGTATGTCTGCCTCAAAAAAAGCTGAAGATACACTTTTCTCCTCAGTATAAACAAGGGCATCTCTTTCTGCCAAAACCTTCAATATATCAGTGTTTACACCAGGCAAATACATCTCATTTGCTTTTGGAGAAACCTTGTCTAGTTTTTCATATTTATTTAAACCTTTGCCACTTTCCTGCAAAATCATCGTTCTCTCTGATTCTTCTCCTGCACGTCCAAGAATGTCTACTATCGCACTATCATGTAATTCTTCTGCATGCATTACAGAAGCCAGTTCTTTGTCCCTCTTCCCATTTGTACATTTCCTACTTATTCTTGGCTTTTTATTAACAACTTGTGGTGGCACATCAATGACAAGATCACATTCATCATCAGATTCTTGCAGTTTTATTTCAAGGTTCACTGGGGAAGAGTTTCTCAGCCTCTTTGTGAATACATTTCCACTCCTAAATGGAAACATCTTTGAATTTCCATCCTGATTTTCACATGGAAATACTTCTATTGGCTGACACTGCTGCTTAGCATTTTCATTCATTATAGAAGAGAGAGAGAGACCTGCAAAATAATTTTGTAGAAAATTACATTCAAGAACTGTCGCAAGAACTATAACCAACAATGTATTTTTCTAATTAAAAACCAACAGCTCTTATGTGTATACCAGGAAACTGAAACCACATGACATATGTGCTAAAAAAATGTACTACTACTACTACTAAGGAGAAAGTATCTTACTGTAAGATCATTTTCAAGGGTTAAAGTGTTAATAATCATTTAACTGAGAAGACTGTACTTTGAGATTTCATTCTGTTCCTTGATTTCATGCTTGATCAAATGTATTTTAATCCTTTCGGGGTTTTGTAAAGCATCTGCTTCTCTTTGAGGAAAGACAGCTATGACCTTAAATTAAGTCCTCCTAAACTGCAATCAGCAGATTTCAGCTGAGGAAAAAGAAATAATCTGTTTTATTAATTACGCAAAAGACTACAAGTCTCATTGTCCCAAATACCCAGTAACACTTCAAGCCAGGCATATTTATAATTGCACATAAGCTTTAATTAGCCTTGAAAGTTGAATTTTCCAGTTGCAGATTTAAGCAACTAACTGTTCTTTTTAGCATTTATAGGCCGTAGACTGCTTACCAAAACTCAGCCTGACACTTTCTCAAGGCACTACCTCCATACTCACACAAATATTCTGGCAAATCACAAAGTGTAGTGGCTATCATCCTACCAAAATTTTGTTAGTTGTATACAGACCCTGTCATCCAAGAGATCCGTTAGCATCAATTGTACATTGTAACAACAATGCTACTTACATTGTCATTTAGAAACATGTCAGCATTTGGTTTCAACAGTGATTGTATCAGTAATTACAAAACATCTCAGGTAATTACTAGAAAGTAACATTTTGTTAGTGAATAGGATCCTTTCCAGGTTACTCAAAAAGTAAGTAATTTTGGCATTAACACAGTAACAATACACTAAAACAGGGTGGTACCACAAAGCCTTACTATGCTGTTGTTGTGGGTTAACCCTGCTTGGCAGCTGAGCCCCAGGCAGCCACTCTCTCACTTCCCCCATGGGATGGAGGAGAGAATTAGAAGAGTAAAAGTGAGAAAACTCATGGGTTGAGATAAAGACAGTTTAATAGGTAAAGCAAAAGCTGTGCACACAAGCAGAGCAAACCAAGGAATTAATGCACTACTAATGCACCCAATGGCAGGCAGATATTTAGCCACTTCCAGCAAAGCAGGGCTTCATTGTGCCTAATCATTACCTCATATGTCTCCCCTTCCTCCTTCTTTCCTCAGCTTTTATTGCCAAGCACAATAATGTTTGGAGTATCCATTTGGTTAGCCTGAGTCAGCTGTCCTCGCTGTGTCCTTTCCCAACTTCTTGCCCCCTCCCAGCCTACTTGCTGGCAGGGCAGTGTGAGAAACAGAGGAGGCCTTGAGGCTGTGCAAACACTCTTCAGCAATAACTAAAACATGGACGTGCTATCGTTTTGGTTAGAAACCCAAACCTTCGTACCATACAGAGTTACAAAGAAAATGTACTCCATCACAGTCAAAACCAGTACACCTCTCTACCTCAAAGAAATACTCTGAGCCACTATGAGGTGGTAATTTCTTATCAGAAATACAAATAATCTGAGAGGAGTAAGGTTTCTCCACCTTTTATACAGGTGAGATACCATTTAGACTATGTAATAATCCATGCTATAGGATTATTGTTTGACTAACTAGAGTCTGAGTGAACCTTCACTGTTCAAGTTTCAAGCTTGCTAGACACTGCAGAAGCCATTTAATGATGAATGTTTGTCACTTGAAAGGAAACACTTACGGACTCAGCCTTCAAATCACATCATGCTGTACATCTAGCTACCTGCAAAATCAGCAAGTGGAAGTCAGGAAGGGAATGACTCCACACTGTTTTGGGTCCCCCCCCACCCCAGCTGCCACAGATCTTAGCAATCATCAAATTATCCCAGTACTTTTTCCAGGCTGCAATTCTTTATGCCTAAACACAGAAATCTTTGAGAAACAAATAAAATATTACCATTTACAGGTAACTGTGAAAACACTGGTACTTATCATGGAAATGAAAGCTCCTGCTGCAGAGAAAGACACTACATGCAGAGTGAGAACCTGCACCTGACTTAAGTTTTGGCACTCCTGAGCTGTGAAGGCAGAAAGTCAGTAGCATCTGCTTAAAAAACAGACATGACAGAGTAAGAGACACTTTGATGGTTCCCTGGACTACATACTGTGGTGGGTTGACCCTGGCTGAGGGTCAGGTGCCCACCAGAGCTGCTCTATCACTCCGTTCACTAGACAGGGGAGAAAAAAAGTACAGCAAAAAGGGGTCAGAGATATGGGTCGAGATAAGGACAGGGAGAGATCACTCACTAATTATCGTCACGAGCAAAACAGACCAAACTTAGGGAGGGAATTCATCTAATATATTACCAAGCAAAACAGAGTAGAGGAATGAGAAATGAAACCAAATCTTAAACCACCTCCCCCCACCCCTCCCTGCTTCCCAGGCCCAACTTCACTCCCCATTTCTCTCCCTCCTCCCCCACAGCGGCACAGGGGGACGGGCGATGGGGGTTGTGGTCAGTTCCTCACACGCTG